CCGGCCGCCAGGGAGAAGGATGTGGAGAGATTCTTCAAGGGATACGGCCGCATCCGGGACATTGACCTGAAGAGGGGGTTTGGGTTTGTGGTGAGTGCGCCCCTCTGCAGGGCTCTGTGGTCCCGGCCCGTTGGCCATCCCTCCGGTCTCGTGCGTGTTTGGTGTGCACGAAGTTACTTTTAAAGATAGTAAACGTGCTCAGCTAAGTATACCATATAGTAAATAACCACTTGTTAATTTCTTAGAGATGTAATTTTTTTTTTACTTTTATGGTTTTGCTGCTGTGGTTTTGCAGGAATTTGAGGATCCGAGGGATGCAGATGATGCTGTCTATGAATTGGATGGAAAAGAGCTTTGCAGTGAGAGGTGAGGTACTCTATTTCAAGAATATATAGACTTAAATACAAGTGTGTCAATTTTAACTCGCATTGTGTTATCAGTACTATTTAAACTATTTAGTGTTTTTTCTTCCCCAGGAACTATAACTGTGAAAGAATATATAAAAAGAAAAATGCAAAAAAGTATCGTGTTTCTTTTTTCCCAGGGTTACAATTGAGCATGCAAGAGCACGCTCTAGGGGTAGAGGCAGAGGGAGATACTCTGACCGTTTTAGTAGCCGCCGTCCACGTAGTGACAGGAGGTATGTCTGTCTTTGAACTGACATGGTTTAAAAAAGAACACAGTGGGCTCATCTACTCCAGGAACTTGAGCTAGAATGTGATACTAAAAGGTATTATTTACATTTTTAGTCAATCGTTTGATGTGGCGATAGGATGGTGAGGATTACAAAACTACTCAGATATGCTTGTCTTCTTTATGTTCCCTCCCTGAAGTGCTTAATGCTTGCCCTAGATTATTTGGAGCACTGCATAGTTAAGTTGTTGTAGTAATGGTGATACGCTGATACCAGTTATCGGTACAACCTTTGTTAATGTTAACATGCAGTTACATTTCAGTTACTAATAAAAATCTCCATTGTTTATTTCCAAACAGAAATGCCCCACCTGTAAGAACAGAAAACCGCCTCATAGTAGAAAATTTGTCTTCCCGAGTCAGCTGGCAGGTTTGTTGAAACACGATTAACTATTTTGACTTCATTTAATGGGTATGTAATGTAATTATTTTGTAAAATAATTAATTAAAATTAAAGTTAATTTAAAAAAAATGTTTATGTAA